CCCCTCCTGGCCAGCCCCGCCCCTCCCGGTTCCCTCCCCCCCGGACAAGTGTGTCTGTTTTTTTAGTGGGGTCTATCCGGCAACCCTACTGACAGATGTCTATCCAAACTGCTTTTAAATATCCCCAGTGGTGCAGATTCCACAACCTCCCTAGGTAATTTATTCCAGTGTTTAACCACCTTGACAGTTAGGAAGGTTTTCCTAAGGTCCAACCCTTACTGTAATTTAAGCCCATTGCTTCTTGTCCTATCATCAGAGGCCAAGGAGAGAAATTTTTCTCCCTCCTCCTTGTAACACCCTTTTAGGTACTTGAAAATTACTATCATGTCCCTTCTCAATCTTCTCTTTTCTAAACTAAACAAACCCAATTCTTTCAGTCTTCCCTCATAGGTCACGTTTTCTAGACCTTTAATCATTCTTGTTGCTCTTCTCTGGACCCTTTCCAATTTCTCCACATCCTTCTTGAAATGCGGTGCCCAGAACTGGACACAATACTCCAACTGAGGCCTAACTAGCTCAGAGTAGAGCGGAAGAATGACTTCTCGTGTCTTGCTCACAACACTCCTCTTAATGCATCCCAGAATCAGGATAGCTTTTTTTTTTTTCAACATTGTCACACTGTTTATTTGTTTTAAAAATTTGTTTCAGCTAGAACTAGAAGTGGGTGTAGCAAAATTGCTAGTCTTCTAGTTCTAGCTGAAATAAATTTTTTAAACAAATAAACAGTGTGACATTGTATTGGCTGGCCAAACCCGAGCAGTTTTTGAAAGAGACTAATGTCAAAAAGTTGTCAGGTACAAAGTGCTTTTGACAAGTTCAGCCTTTGATAATCATTCATACTTTTGGTAGTTTGTCTGAACTTTTTGAGATTTGCCAATCACTTGCTATGAAAACACATCTCTAACTATTCAGCAGTGTTAGCTCCCATGTTGAGGTTAGAACTTTCAGTGTGATTGGCAAATCTATTGCAGATTATTGTAACATGAAATTTTAAATGTCTAACCAACTAATAATAAATTAATGCTTAGCAATGTCTGTGTTGCAAGAGTTGGAATTTGGTCAAATAAATTTGGATTTCTGAGCCTGTCAGTGTGTGTTGATGTTTTAAGGCCCATCCCAGGTATCACATTCCTATTACTGGACTGTGCCCATATTAGAAGGATTCTAAGGGTTGTAGTCTAGAGGGATCGTGGGGACTGTAGATACAGCAAGGCATTTTGGTAAGGTTGCCAAAAGGATACAAAAGTCAGTGTTACCTTTGATATGTTGTTGAATCTCTCTTCCTTTCCACAGGAAGAGGTTTGGAAGAGCCTGGGAAGAGGCCTAAAAGAACAGCCAAAGGACTGAAGAAAGTACCACAAGAATGGTGTTTTTGGGCAAGAAAGATGAAGACTCGGGGAAACCTGGAGAGAAGAGGAGCTGCTCATGTGTCTCCTCGAATCCAAAAGACCATGGAAGAATTCCAGCAAGAAAAACTTCTTGTTAGTCTTGGTCTGGACCAAGCGAGTGAACTGAGGAAGGCTTTACATTTTTATAATTTTTTCAAATTTTATTTACCCAGGAAAGGGAGAGGGAAACTGAGACAGTAGCTGTACCTGACAGTGAAAGGACTTATCCTGACCTTTATTGCATTTTTAAGCATGTACGTCAGTTGGAGTGCATAAGTGCTTTGCTGGATTGGAGTGAAAGCACCTTGAAAGTTTGAACCCTTGAGGAGACATAGTTATGTAATCCTGTCTCAGCCATTGGGTAGACAAACAAAATAGCTATTGGCCAGGTAATGGTCTGATCATGTCCTGAGCACACTCAAGTCTTAGTTGGTTTTAGTGGGAATTAAGGGCACTTAAAAACTCAAGATTTAGGACAGCAAATAAAGCAAGACTATTCTAGATTACATAACTCATATTGAACCAGTTGTATTGTGTTAGGCAAGCAATGGTATAACAGATATATTTTTATACTTATCGTATTTCAGTTTGATTTCTTTGTTTCAAGGATTATTCCTATTAAGAGGTTAGGTTATTGCTTTCTTTCTGTTTAGACACTGTCCTGGTGTCTAAATGGTGAAGAAGGACTCATACAAGTAACCCTTACTCAAGTTATTTCATGCAGAGGAGACAAATTAGGACACATATACAGAGTATTCCCTCCTAGTCCATGTATATTAAGAATATACCAAATCATGAAGTTGTTGCTCAGTTCTTACACAATCATGGCTCAAAGAAAGCTTCTGGGAAGAGCTGATTTTCCTGAAGAAAGACAGAGAAAAAACATTCTTAATATTTTCATTGTTTAACCTAATTCACTTTTCACTCATTGACACACTGAGTAAAAGTGGATTAACAGTGCAAGCAACGGTAAAATTCATCAAAAATCCCCTCACTTCTAAAGTTGGAGCAAAAGAGAGCTTTTTTGTGTTACACATCTTACAAAGTGCTCTTCTATCTGTTGCTTTCCCCAAGCATTTCATCGAAATGATGGGTTTGTGTTGTAATCCTACTTCCAAAACATTAAAGTCCTGTTGTAAATACACAGACGTGGCATATCACTTAGAAATCATTGTCCTCTCATCATCATCTGGAACATTTGTTTCTACCTGTTGCACAAATAAGTCCATGTCTTCTGACTTGCTTGGTTGCTCTCAGTCCATCTACAGTTGTTGTAATCAGAGAGAGAACTCCCTTGCTTTAAACTATTGGTTTTGAGGCAATGGGCTTAATTTTCCACTGCCTTATACCTTGTGTAACTTTGGTCATTTACATTCTGATTTGGTGACCATTTCCTATGCACAGGTGTGAATGACTAGCAAAGAGGCAAAGCAGTAGTGAATCAGGTACAATATAGTAATTAAATGTCCAGTTTATGATTGCCATGGATATTCCTGGAAAATTGTTTCAGCACAAAGGGCTTTCCTCATCTGGTTCCTTTGCCTAGCTATCCATAAGCACTAAGGGTATTAGACACTGGAGGTAACTAGCTAACCAGGTACCCAGCTAACCAAGGCTGGCCTTGGTGAAAGTAGCATTCTGGACAAACTTGTGTTATGGTGTCCTATGGGCATGGCACTCTCCCATTCTCCTGGCATCCATGGGCTCCCCAATCCCCTCATCCTGCTCCCGCTTTGCCACTAAGCCCTGCATTGTTCCTTCTTTGCCTCAACTCTGCGCAATGCTGCCTTCACTCCTAACCATCTGCACCCCCAACCCCTGCCCCGCGCTGCCAGTGTGCAGCACTGCGCCATCCCCCTGCCCTCTGCAGTGCTGCACCATCCCCCTGCTCATTATTCCCCACCACAGCCCCTATGCCCAGTAGCCACAGATATCTCCACCACAGATTCCTATGTCCAGTGCCCTCAAACCCTCCCACTGCCTTAGGATAGAGATTTGGCGTGAGATATCTCTGTGTGCATGTCAAAAGGCCCCAGGGAGTGTTTTACATGATGGCTGGGATGTCAGCCATGGCCCAAAATCCATCTGAATTTCAAAAGAAATAGCTGAAACTAATGGCTGAGTCCAGCCTTCAGACCCTTTCCTGCCACTGTTGTGGGCCGTCACCTCCCAAATGGCCTTTCCTTCTTCCTAACATAGAACATTTCCCTTTAAGCTGAAAAGTAAATAGGTGCTTGGGTTGTGCAGTTTAATAAGGAGCCAATTCACCCCTGCTAAAGATAAATCAAGAAAACCTCACTGTTTCCATCTTTCCTTTCCATGTCTCTCTCCCCTTCCATTTTCTTCCACTATTTGATCTCAGGAAGTGGGTCTGGCCCACAAAAGCTCATCACCTAATAAACCTAGTCTTTAAAAGCGCTACGTAGTTTTGTTTTTTGTTTCACCCTTCCATTTAGACTTGAATACCCAGCCCAGCTCCCCCCAGCCATCCCAGTTTCTCCTTTGCCCCCACGTGCTCCCTGATGTCCCTGCTCAGCTGCCCTCCCCCACCCCCAGCTTGGTGGCTCTTCTCCTCCCAGCCTTTCAGGATATACGACTGCCTGGCTCTGTCCCCAGTCTTGCGGGGTTCCCCCTCCCCCCCTTTCTTGCCTCCTGCCCTGAAGCTTGCAGAACTTAGTCTAAGGAGCAGTTTAACTTCAGTGTAGCCTTTTGCACTTGGGCTGGAGCATGGGGGTCTAGGACTTTCCAAGATGCAGCCTGAACCCACAAGTCTACACTGCAGTTAAACAGTCTGGCAGCGCAAGATCCTGCAAGCCTGAGTCAGCAGCTGACAGCCAACTGCAGGTGTCTAACTTACCCTTGCTCCTGGCCATCCTGGATAACAGAACAATAGATTGCATATTATTTAGGGTAAGAAACAGTCTTTTACATAATCTCCACTAGTACAGCCAAATGGCTGAAGACCAGTTTTGAGCATTTAGAGTACTGTTTAGCCTGGGTGCACCTAGGTTTAGTGGTTTTACTTCCACTTCGTTCCAGGCGGTTGCATTCTATTGTATACCTTGGAGTGCACTCTATAAATGAACAAAAGTGGAATCTGCAGGCAAGCTCCCAGCATGTGCTTTCAAAGTCTAAGGATGAGAGAGATCACAGTAGTCAAAGCAGAGTTCATCCAGTTGCCAAATCTTGCACACCCCCGGAGCACAGTCTCACTCTGTAATAACATGTGGGTTTTAAACATGGTCTTGTAAAGTACATAACAACGTTGTTTGTTTTTAATTAGCATACTTTGGTTTGAAGCTTGTGAAGTGTAGGAGTGAATTTTCAGTATTTGATAAGAAATTGTCACAAGCCTATCAAAAGAATTAACTCATAGTGAATAGCTGGTTTTGTTAAGTCAACTAATTGGAGATCTTATATAATAAGGGAAAAGGTATTTGGTCCCTATTTGATTGTGACCTTTTTTTAATGTCAAGTCTCCAGTCACCTATTGCTAGTTCCTGTTCTAAGACACGCCATGGCGTATATTATTCTGATGACCTTAGAACTACCATAGAATGCCAACAGGGCCAGAGGTAAGTAGGTTTTCTTTGCAATGTGTTGCAACTTTACTATCTCTGTTTTAAAATATTCTTTACCGTATAAAAATTCTGTGGATGTTTTGTCTCCATGAGGGAAGGAGAATTCAAGAGGGAGTGAGGTGAGATTTTCTACAGGGACAGAAGATAATGGTTTGCCATATGGGTTGCCTTGTAAGACAAGTACAGTCATGGTAGTAAGCTCTGAAGAGAGACATGGATAATAATTTTGTCTTCCTTGTCAAGAGTTCCAAAGCTCTTACTATAAACTCTTCAACATGTTGGCCAGGCACAGAATGAATCCTACAACATTTTCTTTAAAGTAGACATATAGAACTTTTTCGAAAAAGAGCATCCCAGACCAAGTTCTGTTCTCTGTTGTGCAAACAATTTGGATAGTCATGCACAAAGTTTGTACTGATGATGATTAACATATTTCCATGGGTAACATGCTTGTAAGTGTGCATTTTGAAAAGTGAATCTTTAAGGAATAATATGAGGATTTTTTGAGCTAAATGGAAAACTCAGACACTAGCGAAAATAATTATTTCCTCTACATGTTTATTTTTTCAGTCAGATTTCTTTTCAAGCCTCCTGCCAGGGACACAGCATCAACTTTAAGTAACACTTGGGACACCATTGTGTCTCTTGCAAATTATACTTTCTATTAAAATAAACTCTGGAAGACATGAGGATGAGCAGGGCCAAAGGAAATGTATTGTCCACTCTCTGTGGTCCAAACCCCAAGGGGCATGAAGATTTACCTCTGAATTACTGCCAAACTATTTTTTAAAGTGGGATCCATCATTTGTCTTCATTCTCATGGGACTGATCCTGGGCATTGCCTGATCCGTATGAATGCTTAACAACAAGGATCAGACCCCTACACTGTGTCTACATTGGCACCCTTTTCCGTAAAAGGGATGCTAATGAGACACTTCGGAATTGCAAATGCCATGGGGGATTTAAATATCCCCCACAGCATTTGCATGAACATGGCTGCCGCTTTTTTCCGGCTCGGGGTTTTGCCGGAGAAAAGCGCCAGTCTAGACGGGATCTTGCAGAAAATAAACCCTTTTCCGGTAGGAATAAGGGATCTTCCGGAAAAGGGTTTATTTTCTGCAAGATCCTGTCTAGACTGGCGCTTTTCTCCGGCCAAACCCCGAGCCGGAAAAAAGCGGCAACCATGTAAATGCAAATGCTGTGGGGGATATTTAAATCCCCCGCAGATTTGCAATTCCGAAGTGTCTCATTAGCATCCCTTTTACGGAAAAGAGTGCCAATGTAGACACAGCCCTAATGTTTAGGGACATCTTCTTTCAGGACACGCTGCTTTCTAGTCCAGGGACACTTACATGGTGTTACAGACTTTGATCATGATCCAGCAAAGATTTATGCCTGTGCTTAGCTTTCTGTACATAAAGAGCCCTTGAAAAGGATTGGGGTCTATCATGGGCATCCAGTATAATAGGCAGAGGAAGGCATTGCCTTCCCAAATTGCCAGCCTGGCCACGTCCACACTTCCCCCCCCCCAGAACGCCTTCTGGGCATGGAGTGTTGCTGCCCCCAGTGCTCTTGGCCAGGGAGGCTGGAGCTCCGCGACCTCTGCCCTACCTGTGCTCCAGGGCCAGGGAGACTGGAGCCACGTGCTGCCCACCCTCCCTGTGCTGCGTGGTGGAGGGGGTGAGAAGGCAGCTTGGCTCCCATGGGGAGTGGGACATCAGTGGAAGGGGTGGGGCTGAGGGCTTGCCTCCCCCACCCTACCTTATCCAACCGCCCATGGGACCTATGTTATATCACCCTCTTCTGGTTGGACCCACGCTTGTGCTTCCAAAGCCAGGTCCCTCCGTGGGAAAATCCTGTCTGGGCCCCTCTCACAGAATCTAGGGAGAAAAGTTTCCAGTTAGACTCATTGCTGTGGGTTTTATTTCAAGCCTTCTTAATGAAAACAAGGGTCAATGCTTCAGAGCCTCACAAGGTTAGACCTCAGGCTAAGTCCTTTCCCCTCAAGTCTC